AGCCAGTTCAGACTCGACATACCTATGCTCCGAACCCCATCCAGCAGCCGGGCTCGCCTGCGGCACCGGGTCCGCAAGTCCCAGCGAAAAGTTGAGCATCTGGCCCAAATCGCCAAACCTACCGAGCCCCTTCTTCTCCGCCATCCACGTCTGCGTCCGCAGGCCCCACGGCGGCAGACTCTTATACGTCCACACGCCGTACGCGATCGCCGAGCCAGCGACCAACACCCCGCCCGCGAGCGCAAGCGTCCTCCGGTCCGCCGAGGCCCCCTTGGCCTTGATCTCGGCCCGCCGCCGCCACTCGTGGAGGTACGCCTCGCCGAGGTTCGGCGTCGCCTGCACTACGTTGTCGAGGAAGCGCACCGCGGTACGGAGCGACGACGAAGGTGCCGCCGTCCAGGGGAGGGCGTTGCCCGGGTTCGTGAGGCACTCGTCGCGGAGGTCCGCGGCCATGGCGGCGAGGTGGGGGAATTTCTTAGCGAGGATGGTCGGTAGCCAGGACTGCGGGAGGTCGACCTGCTGGATGAGGGCGAGGTAGCCTACGAGGAGGCAGTCGAGGGACGTGGGGACCTCGCCGCCGAAGAAGCGCTTCTTCTCGCCTGTTGAGTCCTCGCCCCGCGCGCGGAGGGCTTCGAGGGGGAAGAGGGCGTCGACGGTGATGGCGTGGAGCCTGATGCCGCGCGCCGTGCCGGCCTTCATCTCCTCGAGCACCGTCTTCTTGTTGGAGACGGGGAGGTGCTTCATCGCGCGGTCCAGAGCGCGGTTCTTGGGCACGGCGGCGTCATCTCCGTTCTCCTCGTCGTCGTCCTCGGCGCCGAGGGAGTCGAGGCCGAGGTGGGCGCACCGGGCCGTGGCCTGGTTCCGGATCATGACGGGAACGGTCCAGCTCAGGGGGAACCCGAGGAGGTGGCTCAAGGCGGGGCGGGTGACGGCAACCCAGTTCTCGTGGGTGCCGTAGAGGGCGGCATCTAGCAAGGGCGCAAGGGCAGACTCGACGTAGGCGGCGTAGGCGAGGGCGTCTGCGCGCTGGGACGGGGTGAGGCGCGAGTCGAGGTCGAGGTCCCAGGAGGGGGAGTGCGGCGCGAGGGAGGCGAGGTGGGCCGCGATGGAGGCGTAGCCCGTTACCCAGACGCCGTTGGCCTTAAGGGCCGGTAGGCGGTCTAGCAGACGTTAGCGAGGCTGAGGGTAAAAGGGGGAGGGTCCATTGTGTGCATGTATTTTGGGCGAGTTTCTTTGTGCGTTTGGGTGAGCCTTTGTGAGGCTTTCTTTGTTATGAGTCGTCATGATGGGACGAGGCCGCGTGGGAAATTTGTTTCAACGGCGGAAAGCTCGAACGGTGGGAAGGGGGTGGGCAATGTAAAGACGCCGGCCGATGTAAGTGTGAATAAGTGAACCGGTCTACTTACTTGATGAATGGACGGCAGGGTCATTGCTCGGGACCAGACGCCATTGTGAGCTTGGGAGGGCGGTGTGCAGGTAGGCGATGGCGGCCAGACACTCAGCGTCGATGGAGGGGAGGCCAAATGCAGCGCCCCAGACGTGGAGCTCGAGGACGTCGTCCATGGTCGGCGGTGTTGGTGTTGTGTCGTACGTTGTGGTGTGAAGGCCGGGTGACGAGTACACCTCACGTACTGCGGGAACCGGTGTGTGTATCCAAGTATCCGCTTCACGTCGTCTGCCTTCGCTCGCTCTGTCCCCGCTGTAGACTCTAGAGACCCTGATTGTCCGAGTTCTCTAGCGCCAGGGACGTGGTCCCAAAGGATGACGAAAAGTCGGGTGGCCGATGAGTCAAGCCCGTTTCAACGCACTGTTGTGGTATGAAGGATACCCTGAAGATCCCGCAAGGCAGCAATGAGCTGTAAGAGACAACCGTTTCTGATGATGTGCAATGCAATGTCACTGATGTGTCGTTCTGGGGAAAAGTAGGGACCCCTGCATTCCTTTCATCGCTTCAGCGGCGCGAATATCCGTCTGAGCTTGGCCTGAACGGTTTGTTGCGACCTCGGCGCGGGATCACGTGGTCGGAGCATACGTACCGAGAAGTAACAAGGTGCTGGGTACAGATGCCTTACATAATCACAAGTGGAGGGACTGAGGCAGCTGAATAAAAGTGGATTCAGATCTCCCACGTTTTGCCACGCTTCGCCCCACTCCTCCCCCAAACGGGGCTCCATTTCCCGATTGGGACAGAATCGACGAACCCACCGTTCCCCCCCCTGACGATCCGGTTCACCGTTCGAGAAACTCCAAAACACGCCGCCGCAAAAATCACCAAGTATTTTTTTCCCGCCGTCAAACGTCCACCAGTGATACAGAGGCAAAAATAAGAAGCGGTGACGTCTTGGCGATAAGCACCTTCTCTAAGCTTCTGCGCCTGCATCCCCGGCGGGTCCGGATCACCAATGCAAGTCCCCTGAGCCATTCCCAAGTCTACCCTCCACGTGCCCCTCCGAAAGGGATCAAAGGGACCAACAGGAAGAGCCAAGGAAGGGAGGGGATTAGATACATGATACATTGCGACATCCAAACGTTCGACCTTCTTGATCCAATCTCGTGACCATCTTCCGAGATGACCAAAGCCGACGACAACTGCAGGGAGTTCCGCCACCACTAAGGCAGGTACGCGACACCGAACCCGTAAACCGTAAGTTGTAACCGTAACCTACTGCAGGCACCACGACCACGGCGTGCTACCTTAGTTCCAAAGTAATTAATCTAAACCGTCTGAATTCCAGACGCCCCAGAAAACGTCCGACTTGAACCGTCCATTTTTCGAAACGGGAAACAGATTGACAAGCTTGACAGGTGTGAACAGCGAACGGCGCTTGAAGAACGATAGACCAAAGCCTCCCTCTCTTGTTTCATACAGATTCAAACATTCCTCCAGTTCGTCAAGTGGGGGGAGGGGGATTTGGAAATGGGAAAGACAAGTGATCAGCAGCGGAGCTCCAGGGTTCATAGATCTTCGTCACAGAAAATTCCATAATAAACCCACGACAGCTAAGAACATTGTGATACCGTATTTCACGGGGTAAAAGATGCGCAGGTGTCACTTTGATGAAAGGGCTTGGAGAGAGGGTCTCCTCCGTCCCGTCCTTTTTTATCTGACGTGACGTGCCGCACCCCGATTCCCTGTCAACGTAATCCTCGGACCTTCATCAGGGCTCGATATAGACACACAAGGAAAGACATCAGACTCTTAGCTACGAGGACAATCCTTACCCTTACCCATTCAATGCTTCTATAGCTTAAACCACCCGTCCCCGCCCATCGGTGACGAATCGTCGTCGTACCTGGATTAATTTAGATTCTTCTTTAGATCGCGGAGGAATATACGAAATCGTAACATACGGCAATAAAGGGGGGATAATAACAATAGGGGAGAAATAATCCCCCATCACTCATCGCGACACGCCTTTCTATCCATCAACACGAGGTTCGAACCCAAAGAGAAGCCCACATCGGTCGTTCCACGTCCACGGAACACCGCCCACGGCGGCTCCGTTTTCCCTGGCGCCGTCTCTCGCGCCGCCGCCGCTGTGTCGGAGACATGGTACCAGTCCTTTCCCACAATCCCGACTCCCCGGCGCCATCTCCGCTAGCATGAATGCCGTCCATCGTATACTCATCCACTGGTGTCAAACACCCGGATACTAGCCAAGCTTGTCTTCGGGGGGAACCAAACTTCTTTGCAACTTCTCCCTCTTTCCGTTGTTGCCCTCGAAAAAAGACGGGAAGGGCAGAATATCTAATTACACCATCGTGCTAGCCTTCCCTTTAGCCTCCCGTCACCGGTGCGACGTAATTAGATAAGGGAGGCCCTAGAACGACGGCGCCTTGGACCGTCGAGCCCGTCAAAACCGTCAACGACGTCTGTGTTTCTTTTATTTTCATTTTTGCCCCTTGACTTTCTTCGCAGACTTGACAGAGTACGAACTGATACTATAGTAGAGTCTCCACCCCCTGGGCTCTTTTTGCCCTCAGCTTGGGAATTAGGGGTCCAACATTCCACATCCCGTACATCCACCCCCTTTTTTTCTGTCCTTTGCCCTTCCCGTCCGTGGACGGACGGGCTGAGGCTGAGCCTCATTTCCTCATTTCCAATTCCAACTGTACATTATGCTAAACCGTACCGTCCAAGGGGAGTTCGTCGAGAGGCAAAAAGGGGCGGATGTTCCATAAACTCTCTCTCGCAGGCCGCGGCATCAGAATCCACTCCGCCATCAGAAAACGGTACGGCGGATAGTATTCACCGACAAGAATTGCACGCAAATAGGCTCAAACCACCATGCTGCGGTACAGATACGGAGTTCGGACCTCGAACAACAAATCTCGGCCCCGCCCCCAAGTGAGGCCTCTCTCTCTCTGGTCTGTCGGGTCCAATATGACGGTTTCGAGCTGGGTTTACTCCGTACTTTCGTACTTCAGCTGAGGTAATGGGCGTAAACCCGGGGAAAATGCAAGCCCACCGGAAAAAACGCACGTCCAACCAATATGAGGCACGCATGAAAAGGCAATTACCACCACCGTTCGAACCGCACAACCAAAACCTCGCAAACCAGAACCTCAATGTCCAGCTCATAATGGCCTCATACGCAAATCCCCTTTGGAAGGTTTCAATAAATCAAAACAGCCGCGCATCGCGGGTAACCTCACCCCTCCACTTCTCCCTTGCAAAAACAAAAAAAAAAAAATGCAATGGCACGTCCCGAGGTCTACCGCCCAAACCCTTTTCTCGTGCATCCCCTCCCCTCCCCTTCGCCGCCGCGCTGCATCGCCCGCCCCTAAGGCATGTATTTGTCCTGCATCTCGACTTAGGCGAGATGAGCAGTTTGGCAACCGCGGACGGGGTAAGGTGGTTCGGGTGGGATGGTGATGGGAAATGGGGGCCTAGATACGCAGTAAAACCTGGGGGCGAAAACCACCAAAAATCATAATACTGCGTCCCATTTTCCAAATTGATAAGCAGGGCCTATGTGCAACATTATCAGCTGAGCTTCTCAGCCTGTCCGTCTCGTTCCGGGCAGGCAAGGCCCCCCGGTGGTAAGGTAGTGTAGCAGTATGTTCTCCTTGACGATAGATAGAGAGAGAGCAGGAATGTGACCAAACTTTTCATTATTGATGTGATGTTTCTGCCAAAAAAACACGCGCCCTAGCCGCACATCTTTTCCCTTCCAAACCCCGGCTAACATCCCCCCCTTGTCCTCCATCTGCCACTCTGCCACTCTGCGGTAACATAACACATCACGTCAGTCAGGGCAAGCAGCAGTACACCACGGAGATAGAGTGTATCCGTAGGGCAGGGCAATCTCTACCGCAACGCGGAAAGATCTCAGATGATCTCGGCGCGTTTCGCCCGCCGCCGCCGCCGCCGTCGTTGTTCGCCGCCCCCCTTCCCTTTCGGTCAAGCACTAATACATCCAAACCCCCGTCGTTCGGTGTGTATCACCTAGAAAGACACCCGCTCTGCAAAGACAATTGGGACGGATGTGACGACGGGGCTTATCAACATCAGCACGAACAACATGCTATCCGTTGGATGTCGAGGTAAAGATCGTCAAAGAAGGCAGAGAAAGCTGTCTGCTCTGCCCTGATAATCATGGTGTTGATAGTTTTCGTGGTGGTGGTGGTGGTGTGGAAACCAACAACACAACAACAACACCACCCCGGTTTCCTCACAAAAAGTCGACGTGTCAATATATTCTGCAACAACTGAGCGGTTTTTTCAATCCATTCTCCCACCATCTCTTTGGGAGGGGCGTGGAGGTTTTTTTCCCTCGACATACTGAAGAAAGGGCCCAAACATTGGGTCGCAAAAGATGGCCGCTGGCACCCCGTATTCAGCTATACTTTCTCTAGTTGACCTCAATATGTGTTGTTGGCGCGCTGCAAAGTCGCAACTGCCCTCCGGTGGCTGCTAGCCTGCCTGGTGTTACCTTTCGCCTTGCGGTCTTCTGCAGGACTGCGCATGGTATTTGAGTATTTTGGTCTGCTGATCGGGTCGGGTCGGTTATGCATGGCACATGGGGGGGGGGATGGAGAGGGGAGAAGAGGAGGGGGTCGTTTGCGGCAAGGTTGGTTTCCGCAGTTGTTGTATGTAGGTATCACAGCCATGCAGCAGGAGAAACAAAGTAGGCTGAGGTTTAAATTACCTTACCATGGCAGCATGGGCTCGGTCTGCAAAAAGGTGGCCGCCGCAGAGTAGTATTCTTTCTCGTTCCACCGCCAAACGCAAAGCAAATCAGTCCGTTACTCCGTAACCTCATCCAACTTTCCCCCAGCCCCCAATACACCCCCAATACAGGGTGGTCGTCGGGAGGGACGGATAGACTGGGGGGGGGGGGCGATGCTCTCTCGGTCAACGTAGAGATCGGCTCACCTTTTCCCAACGACCCCGCGCACTGCTGTCGCGGCCATGGTGACGGCGGACGGGTGGGGGGATGGGGGGAGAATGGGACGGGATGTCGTGCGTTGAGTGGGATGTGTTTCCCGCCCATCGTGCCATGTGCCCATGCCGTCTCAGTCTCACAATAGGCGGGAGAGGTTGATGAACGGGGGTTCATAGTAAGATCCTCTGTTTCTGCCATGGTTTGCGCGGCATTAGCGAGAGCTGTGCGGTTAAAGCGCGGTTCAATGAGGAAAGTCGGCTTTGAGGTCGAGGACTTGGCTGGCCTTCAAAGTTGAATCACATTTATGCAGCAAAGTGAGGATCAAGTTTGTTTTGATGAATTATGTGTGGTATTATAACTCTCATCTAGAATTGGGTGGTCCAATGCTGAGATTGACCCCCTGTGCTCCAGTGCGAATGAGGAAATGTGAACTCCTTCTCTCCAACTTTTGATGTATCCCAGTTGACTAAATCGGGTTCCTAAGAAACGCTCGTACTTGACGTCGAATCCGTCCATCTATCTCTCTGAGAAAGGGAAGGGGGGTATCGGCGACGACAAAGTGGGAAAAGAAAAAAACAAAAAAAGAGTAGACTTGTAATGCGTCTCCCTGACAAATGCTCCTTTCTAATGATACATGTTTGTGTTGATGAGGTTGTGGAAAATGCGTGATTGAATGATGACGTTGAGGTTTGTTCCTGGTCCCGTAATGATGCTTTGCTCGTTCCGTTGTAGGTCATGGATTAAAGATGGTGGTTTCCGTTGGCTTGGTTGAATAACCCACTTTCGGTGAAAGAGGTGTATAGAGAACGAGGGGTAGGTTGGTATTGTTACAAGGTGGTATGTCGGTGAATACTGCGTAGGGGGTGTGGCAGTCGATGACGAAGTAGAGTGGGTTGTTGCGTGGTTGCTGGTAAGTTGCGTGCAGAGCCCAGCTCTTGGGAACGCGGGCCGGCACGAAGAGAAGGAGAAGAAGGTGAGGGAGGAAGAATAAAAAGGCCCATTCTCGAGACCGCCTCGGAGCAACTGATGACCCCGCGGTCTATCGTGACGCAGGTGCGTTTGCCCGGTCTGGAGAGATTGAGGGGCAGTTGCATTGGCCCGGTGGTCGCAGAGGTGAGGCTTTTGGAGAGACCTCTGCCCCTCGGTCAAATGGTGTGGGTGGTGTGGGTGAGACGCATGCATGGCCAACACATGGAGGCGTGTATGGCGTGCATATTGGAATGCGTGGTAAATCCTGCGGGCTGCCAAATACAGGCCGACTGAATGGATGCGGTGTTGTTGCTGAAGGGTGTGGATCGGTTTTCGTTCGCAGTTGGTATTTTCCCGAGAACTGGTTCAATGGGTTTGTTGGCCCCCGTTCGTCCATGTTGTTGGTTTTCGACTGAGAAGGGAAACCGAAGGGCAGCTCCATTCGATGTGGTAGTGGTGGTTTGTTTCTCAACTCATGGCTCTAGAAAGCTCTCGAGTTGGTGTATTGCGCGAGGCCAACCGCCAGCCACTCTTTAACCGCGGGTGGGCAGAGGAGGAAGAGGGCGTTGAGGCGGCGGGCCGGGGCAGGGAGGAAGTTGCGAGGGGCGCTGAGCAGGCATGGTGATGAAGTCGTTGTTTGCGGAGCAAGCCATATGAGCTGTTGTGAAGTTGTTGCTTTGGGTTGAGGTAAGGCTGCGTAGATGTAGCCTTGGGGAGTTTTGTATGTTGTGGTATGCAGGTTGTTGAGCCGTTGAGGAATGAGGACAAAGACTCTTTGGTGTGTAGTGGTGGATGGAAGATGTGAGAGTAGTATGTAACCAAACGGTCGTAAGTTAGAAGAGTTTCGTCTGAATCTGGTCTTGTCGATGATGATTGTGATCTGGTCGGGAATAGTAGTCCATCGATACTAGGGGGGGAGTCGGGTGCCTTATGTATCTACGAATGCGGCCATGGGAAGGAGATTTTGGCTGGCGGTGCCTGTTTGCAGAGCTCGCTGTCCGAGACTCTGCAATTTTGGAACAGCCAGAAACCTTGCAAGGGTATTAGCCCAGCTTGACCTTGGATCGGGCACTGGTGTCTTCTTGCTTGGGAGGGGGGTGTGTGGTGTCAGGGGAGAAGGGTGTAAAGGGTGTGTGAGGGAGTGCCTACTTACCGTACTGCGTAGGTAAACCACCGTAAGAGAGGGTAAAAGTAGGGTGTGTGGTGACTATTGTGGGAGTGCGAGATGAGGGTGAAGGGCGAGTTTGCGTGTGTTGCGAGCTATCCAGGGGTAAGTCGGCAGGGTGTGGGATGGGCGGCGATGGGGTGGCAGTAAAGTGAAGGTGAAGAAAGGAATTTTGCCTGGGACGGGAGAGAGAGAGAGAGCAGGTACGTCAGTACTTTGACCCCTTGTACCTGACACTGCCAGTGCCAAAATTAAAGCTTTGCCCTGGGCGTCCACTCCGTCTGGTCTTGGTGTTCTGCTGTGTGGATGGGGACGCGGCATTCCGTTTACGCTACCTTACGCCATCAGGTACACCACGGCACGGTACTTGCATACGGTATTCCAGAGCCGTAACGGTGGAATGCAGCTCTGCAGACTGTACGTACCGACCCACACACCGTCAAGTGGAGATCAGCGTCTAGCCGAAGCAACCGTTTCTCCAGAAATGTCAATCTCGTCAATCACCCCCAACGGTGGGTCGCCGTCTCGTCTCATCTTGCTGAGGTGACGGGCGACTCCCATGACTGCCCGCTGCCCTGGAAAAAGGTCTCCCTCTTTTTGGCGGTGACGCATCGCCAGAGTCACCGTGGGGCTTGACCGCCGCAACGCGAGGAAATGAAACAAGCACGCGTACAGGGGGCTGCCCTGCCCTGAACGTGTTCCTGCCCCTGTCGTACCGGCCTTTCTCACCGTCTCCATCCACTCTCAGTTTTCCCCATACACTACTGTACTCCGTTGAGTAGACTAACCGTCAGGCAGGCACAGAACGGAGCGGAGACGGAGACGGAGGGATTTGCCCACCAGCCAACAGGACACCTGTGCTCTCACTCTCACTCTCATTCCCTCACTCACTCTCTGGCGAACTCACCTCACCCAGATGAAGGTATCCGTATCCATTCCTGGCACCAAGAAAAAAGGGGAGCCCTTCAGAGAAAAAGGAGACAGCGTTCGGCAGCTCCGTCTCTTCCAACCCAACCCTTGTCCTCCTCTTCCTGTTACGGTTCAATCTCAAACCGTCAGGGAAATTGCAAAGCTCACCGCTCAAACACCACCTAATTGACACCAAACCAGTCAACCGGTGACCACCACGCAACACCACACACACATACACATACACTTGGACTACCAAAATTGCCAAAGCTCCCATCTCGTGCCGTCCATCTTCAGACGACACCCAATCAACCAGTTACAGAGCCAATATAAAGTTGCGACGTGCGTAATTTTGCGTTGACGACAGCGAGAAGGAGTACGAATACAGTACTCTCAAGTCCCTCCCTCTTAGACCTCTCCTCCCTGATGCATCGCATCATGTCACGGTGTCTACAGAAAACCTCAAACCTGGGTGGCCTGTTTAAACTGTCCACTTCTGCAAGTGAGCAATGATGTCTCGTCTCAACTCCCGAGTCCCCTTTCACCAAGCGACTCTTTGTTCCCACGTTGGGGGGGAGTTCCCCGGTTCGCCGTGGACAAAACTCTCTTTTGGCTCTTGTGAGTCTTGTCCTTTCACCCAAACTTGACAACTTACAAGCAGCATTGCGCGGACAAGGCGCCGCCCCAGAAGCGGCCGGCCGTGGCTCAGCTTCCGTAGAACACCAAATTGTTCGCCTGTAGAAAAAGTTTCACCGAACGCCCGTAGAATATCTGCCGCGTACAGTCGTACGTCCGTTACTATTACGACTTTCTTACTACGGATACTACGGATACAACTGCGCGGCCCTTTTTCGTCCTTTTCTGCGCAGTAATCTTAATTTTCCTGGGCGCGCAAACACGATTACACATTACACCTACATCATTGGCGTCGTTGTTCTGCAGAGTCCAACGTACACGTAGCGCAAGCCCACACACAAACCTGCAACTGCAACTCTACCTTGGTTGTATGCAGTAGAGTACATGCCTCTAAAGAAGCAGAAGAAGCAATAGAACACAAGATAAAAAAAAAGTCATTACATTTCACTTGCATGCGCATGTGCTGCTGCAGATAGCGGGGCCAGAGGCTCCGTCGACGTTGCTTCAGGTGCATCTAAAATAAAATTCTTCAGGGGGTGTTTCTTCTTCGTGTCTTCTCGGCTTCCTGCTACTGCGGCAGCAACATGCAGACAAAATAGATGCAGCCTATTGCTGCCGCAGCCCATTCACCGTCGCATTTCATTCCGAAATCCGCAGCATTGAGCAGCAATTATCATCGCATTGCCTGATCTCACCTAACCACTCCGACGTAGGCGTCCTGCTGCGCCCCGATGAGCTCTCCGAGCTTACCTCACCTTGTAATAGCGTCTGCCTGGAATAAGAATAAACCCCCAACCCAAGTCCCCCCCCAGTATCCATACTCCGTATTACGATGAAGTGCCGTAATCATGGTCAAAAGGCTGAATGCGGACAGCAGCTGACACGCAGTAACAGGTAACAGATTATCTACGATCAAGGCAGAGCAAGGGGGGTGGATAAGTGGCCTCCTCCCCCATTGGCAAAAAAATCATCATCAAATTAGAAAAAGCTGCCAGTCACCAGCGCTTCAAGGGGTTCAGCGGGGCACAACGAAACCCTCCTCCCATCTCCATTCGAAATCGACCATCTTGCAGCAGGACAAGGGCATGCGTGGCATGGGCCAAGGGGAAAATGGACACTCTTCACTTCAAGGAAGTCGAAGACGGTAGGGCCCAGGGGTAAGGGGGGGCGGGCGGGCTGAACCAAGGCAAGGGAGAGAGGAAATTTCCCATCAAAAAATCGGTAACAATGAAGCGAACGAGCCGAATTGGCCTGCTTTACGGTAATAATTAAACCTGGTCCTTCTCTTTTTCTGCCGTTTGCTCTGCCGACCCGCTTTCCGTTCACACTCAACATGGGAAGTGTATAGCGAGATTGGATCTCGTCAGAGTCCCCAGCCTCCAAGGGGCCGCTGCTCATGCATGGAAGCTTTCATGGAACGATTGTGGAAAAAGTTCGACCGCTTCTGTAATTTCCCAAATTTTCTCCATATCCAGTCCGGGCTCCCAGGTCAGCCCACCGCCTCCAGCCAGTCAGGGGATTATGTTGTTGTGAGATTTGGTTGGGCTGGAAAACGAGCCTATGAGAGTGGTAGAAAAGAGAGGCGGTCACGACGCCGAATGCAACTTCAATTTTGTACAAACTTTTTTTTTCTCACTCTCATTCCCCGATGACCGGCGTTCTCTATCCAGTTACTCCGTTTACCACGGGAACAAAAACCTTGGTCATGACCAACCAACTCACATCACACCCCCGGTATGCTTAATCTCATCTTCAGCCTTGTCTGTCATGTGCCAGGCAATGTGAGAACCCCTAAAATTTCCATCCCCTTCTCCAGACTCCAGACTCCGGACTTTTGAGTTCGGTTCGGTGTCTTGCGTGAAATGCCAGCCAAATGATCTGTAGGACTTTTTGAGTATGAACTGTATGAGCCGCACATCTGGGGTCATCCATCCTAGTGGGACTTCCGTCACGCACTCTATTTCGCAATTCCCAAGGAAAAAAAAACCTGAATGAATTACCTGCCCGGGCCCAGAGCTGTCTGTTACTTGCGCCGCCCGCGCGCGTCCGCATCTTGATGGTTCCCGATGAGGCCATCCCTGCGAGGTCTACAAACCCAAAATGTGAAAGGGAAAAAGCCAAGTCTACCGTTCCATCCGCAATAAGAGTTCTGCCTTACCGCTCCTGCTACAAGCACTGCTTCCTACTCTACCAATCCCTGGGGAAAGCTTCTTTCCGTGACCGAGCGAGAAGCCGGCGAACCATGGGCTCTGTCACGAATCACATCACGAGCCGTGAGCCGGCCGTTAAACCTCCTCCCTGACTCTCCGACTCTTTCGTTCATCCAATCGCACGTCTCACGGACAGCTCTGCATACAATGTGTAACTGTAAGGTGTGCCGAACTCTGTAGTGAAGACACGGTACACCGTCTTGAAGGAAGGCCATATCCCTCTCGGAGATTAACCACCAACTCCGTAATACCAGCAACCTGTATGCGCGTGCCGTGATATGCTTACTTTACCTTTCATGCCGTGTCCGTCCGTGAGAACTCCGTCCCACGCTCGTTATCCTCTGTAGCCCTGGACCCTGGAAAATTGTGGACAATCTTCTGAGGTTACACTACTGCAAGTCAACAATTAACAAGAACCCTAAAAAGTCCGACGACGAACGCGAGGAATGCGCGACCGCCTCGGGGAAGCGAAATCTTGAAGAAGGCTTGTTTAATCACACGAGACAAGGTCCCGGGGGAGGGGGGGTTCGGTTCGTTGCTGTCATTTCCAGTTCTTTAAGATACAATTCCAACATGTCACTGGCTCACCGAGTCCCACCGAGGCATGGAGGAATGGATACGTATCAAGGATTTGAACATCCTACACGCCAAACACGAAGCTCGACGTGCCGTTTGTCCTGTCGTCCATCATTGTGTGAGACTGTGAGACTCTCCATCCCCTTTGCTGAGCTCGAAAAAGGAACGGTAAGGAATTCCAATCACTCGGGTCCAGAACATGGCCGGAGCGCGGTAACATTTGCGCACATCTCCCGTCCCCGTGGGATGGACGGCGCAAAAAGAAGGATGTCTCAGGATAATTGGACAATAATGAATATGGGTGTCTTCAGAGGTTCAGCCTCCTTCTTGGTCTCTGCCGTGTCACCACGTTCCTATGTAGATCCGATGCTTGGCCTAGACCCCTGGCCCCCAATCAGACCAAGCATTCCTTATTTCCCTTTTTCGTTCCTTTTTGTCAATATGCTGTTTCTGTTTCTGCCTGTTATCTTCACCGGTCGACCGGTGGTGATCAAATGTCTCTGTTTCAGCATCGCCAGCTGGCACCCACAGCTTTCAGCTTCATCCAACTTTGCTTATTGCTCTGCGCCTCCTCTCTCCCCCCGAATATCTTCGGTCGAGGGATGGAGCTGAAGACCCAAGTCCGGGGAGTCTTATTCCCGTGGCTATTCTTATCGAGACCCTTCCTCTGTGTCTGTCTCTCGCTTGGTTCTTCCTGTTGGCGATCAGCCTTTTCCTTGTCTAGGACACGAATCCGGTCTATTGGATGTCGATGCCAATCTTACTGCCGCATCAACAAGTTCAGCCCTTTTTTTCTCACACAGGCCGGGCTCACAACCGTTTCAATGACCCACCGTTTCGGATTCTCATTGGTTGGTGGCTGCTTACCTTGGTCTCTTGGGGAGCACTGGGATCAATCACTGATCTTCCCCCCCGCAATGGTCTCACGTTACGTGCAACCTTGGCACCGTAATGTGCACATCATCACCCTCGAGCACTTTCAACCCTTGCTGGCGCCTTTCATACCCCAGTTGCCCAGTTTCCGCCTAGACATGCAAGTCGAGGTCAGCTGGTCACGATCCCAAGACAACACTGCCCAAGAGATATTGAGAAAGAAGAAATGTCCGTACAAAACTACGCTTGATAGACAGCGCACACAGCCTGCCTGCCTGCCTGCCTAGACCTCTACGAATAGAAGAAACAGGCAAGAGAAGCGAGGGAAGCCTGCAGCAGGCTATGCTTCTCGATACAACACACTCCTGCGCTCGCTTCCCCCATGTCGCGTAAGACGCCCTGGGTCAAATGATGAATCGATGATTTCCCTCCTCAGTCGCCTTTTTGGCGCATCGCTCGACCACGTTTTTCACACATCTGCACGTCGCCCACCCTGTATCCGCCTACCTGGGTACGGAGTACGGCAGCACGGCAGAGTACCAGACCCAGGCTGTATCTCTAGGCAAGACAGGAAAATACTGGTAGCGATGGGAAGCTGACGGTATGCCGATGCTGACGGCATCAATCAAACGTCCCACGACCCTTGTCGACCGTATCCCTGGTCTTGCTCGCAATGTTTCCGAAAGGAGCCCATACTATTGCCATATCCGTAGAGATGGGAGTCATCGGGTACAGTAAACACCGTTTGATTCTTGCCGTCGCAGTTTCAAATGTAACATGGAACAGAGAGAGTCGTTGGCGGTGGTGGCTTAGCCAAAGCACAACCGCCCGATAACACGAAATGTCGAGCGAGCACCGCGTATTCCGTAAATACCTACTACACACAGCCATGGCAGTAGGGTCTTTTTGCCCGGTTTTCTTCCCGCAAGAGACTAAGAAGCGAAAGGAAGGAAGACGTGGAACGCCTCGTAAAGAAGACCGAGCCGAGGGAAGAAATCGTCCAACGATAGTTCGGCGATCTCCTTCCCTTCTCATACTCTCCCTACGGCGCGTGGGAGAGCCGTGGAAAGCGTGTGCCCGCCCGTCCTAACGCAAGCCTCCCATTACCAGATCTACGGATCCGCGGCGCGGGGGCTTGTCATCGCGGCGGTGATCGGGACACCAAGGCTTGCGGTAACATGGCACTTGGATGGGCGGATGGTAACACGAACGTGCCCCGTCCCATTCGAAAACCTGGAAAGCCACACAAGAAGCCTCAAGCCTTCAAGCCTCACTACGATGCCCCAAGCTCCAAACCTTGAGTTCAAGCAAACGGTTGGTTCCTGAGACCTGAGTAGGTAGACCGTAGAGAGCAGTTTTTGGGTGGGATGGCAGTTCCCGTGTTTCCCCAGAGTTAGCGCCAACGAAACACCTTCTTGAAGCGTACAAGCTCGAGGAATACCAAGTCATGGCGGAAAGAAAGCCACACCCAAATGGAGGGTTAGTCTTTTTTTTTTTTTTTTCCCTCTTTCCACGATAGGGGAGGACAAAGACATTGACAACTGCCAGTGATCGAGCAGGACACCACGAGACCACATTACCCCTCGTTCCATCCCACTTGCCGGGAATTGGTGGCTTGTCTTAAGAGGCACTGATCGTTCAAAGCTTGATGGAAATTGCCGTCGCGGATCCGCATCTCGATAATCGCGATTGTCGCCGGCTAGCCAAGAGGCCTTCAGCTTGCCCAGACACAACTCAAAATCTTTCCCATGGTGCCATGGTGCAATGGCACATTACCTACCCAGAGCCGGGCTCGCGGTAGCACCAGGACCATGGTGATGGCGTCCGCGTTCTCCTTTTGACCTTCTGGCATATATCTTGGAAAACTTTGGACACTACAAACAAGCGTCGGCAAAGGAGATCGCACCAATATTACGCCTCAAGTCTTGGATTACTTGTTTGTTCCGCACCACAATGCGGAACCGAACGAGCTGAATGCCGATCAGGGTGTACGAAGAGGTGTCACAATCTGGGCAAAACTGAAGACATAACGTTCCACCGTCTAAAGATTGTTTCTCAAGCCATGGTGGCACTTCTCCATAGTGTGGCTTTCCTTGTGCGACCACACACTTTACCAATGACGCTGTCAAGACCACTCACACCGGAAATCCCCAACGTTCGTGCCGTTCAAGCATATCCATACCACTAAAACATCAGACAAAAAGGCTTCGGGGTCCGTATTTGGTTTGACTGATCGACCGTTTCTGTAATGACAAGGTTGGGCCTCACTCATCCCATCCCTCTCCTCAATTGCCCGAGAATCCGTAAGCAAGCAAATTCGGAACGAAAACGAGGGTGCGCTTTTCTCGGGTTCCTGATGGAGAACATGTTGACGTTGTTGGTCTACGTCTTTGTCTGCCCACCCAACTCCGGGGAGGGGACTGGACCGGACCCATATTCCGCGGCGAAGCACGGAGGCTTCGGGGAAAGCTCTTGGGTTCCGGGTTTGGACACACAGTCAGAAGCTTATTGACATTACAACCTCGTGTCAACCTACACAGCATTTGTCTTACTGTTACACAAAGACCAGCTCAGTCAGTTCTGCAGGCTGACACACTTGTTCCCAATCTAGAGGCTCAGACACATGTTCCTGTCTTGCTTGCTGCCTTGCCATGCTGTGTCACCGCGCCACCGTCAGCAACAACGTCGCAGATTGCTGACATTTTGACGAACAACCCACCCACACACTCAGGCAACTCCTCGTGGGACCTGAGAAACGGAGGCAGAAACAAGCGCAGATGGGGACGCGGAGCGGGAGGACGCTCCCAGCCACAGTCCTGATATTGACATGATACTGATGGGTGGTGTGGTGGTCGCGGGCGGACGGTGGATAAAATAAAATAAAAAGACGGTTGTGACGTGCTCCTATCATCCCACCATACGGAAAGCGTCACTTGCATGAGAGAGAAAGTCGCATTACGGCTGGGACCTAGATACGTGCTTGCGATGCGAAACTGCGGAAAGCTGTGTACTGAGTGTACATGTCCTAGAAGTTCCGTCCACGTCAACCACACCACTCCCGTCCTTCCAAGCCGGCCGAATTCCGTTACAACCACCGTTTTGGACAGCGTCTCCTCTGATTGGCGCCTTTTTTCACTCATTGAAAGGTACCCAGTTACAGCATATCCTCCCACTCCCATCCAACAGCAGAGTGTCTGTGATGACACATGGTTACGCTGCATGGTGATCCTCTCCCATGCAGCCTTATCCCCCAACTCGGAATGCCTGCGGTCACAAAAAAACGGTGCTGGCGGCGCTGGCGAGCTGGCTGGCTGGCTGAGTGAGTGTCCGAGTGGACTTCGCGTTCGGTTCGGTCTCACGGCGAGCCAGTCATACCTAGCGGCAAGCGGTGCCACGGCGGTGGTGGTCTTGGAGAAACAGACAAACATTCCCATCATGACGACGACTCTCACCTCACCATCACACTCGAACTCACACTCACATGTCTGCAGAATCCCACGGCCACGTTGTCTTTTGCTTGGTTTCCCCATCCTGTTTGATAAACAACCGCATCCACTTGATGTGCTTTCTCGCACTCTCACTCGCTTCATAATCACCCATACGATGTATGTATTCGTACACACACACCCGAACCCCGTTTTGTTCCATCCGCGTTCTCTCCCCACTCGAAATAGAAGGAAAAGAACATCGGCTCGTGAAAATCAAAAAGTTCCCAGTCTGTTCCCCATTGTAAAAAGTGCACATGCAGCGGCGTGACCCAACTTTCCAAAAGTCTTGGCTTTCCGCTGTCGCGCTGACGAACCGAAGGTTCTACATCCTTGGGGTTTTTGACATTTGTTCTCCGTTTCCCGTGCCGAGGACACCGAAAGTTCCTTGACAGGCTGACTGTCTCCGCTCCCGCCAAGCGGACCAGGGTGTTTGTGTGTGGTTGTCGGTCCAAGGCAAACGTTCACACAAAGGCGGTCAGGTCCTGCCAATCACCCAGGTAGTGACTGTGCTTGCTTGCCTGCCCGGTAATTATCATGGGTCGCATGAAAACTGTCCGTCAATGTTGTTGAGAAGCGTTGTTGATGAACTTCTGTCGATGGGTGTGACTCACAATGAGTTGGCGATCTTCTCCCCCCCATCCCCTTCTGCAACAACCCTTGTCTAAGCGGTTAACCTCACCTCGGGCATTTTCCAGTCATAACGCTTCCTTCAACCCGATCATCTTTTTCCCCCTGCTCTCCAAGGCTGAGATGGTTGATGAATGACACCGTCTCTGTGGAACCGAGATTCTTGACTTGCGAGACCGCTTGTCTTTGCTTCACCCTCCCTCCCCTCATCCAGCACCCTGGTTCACGTCAGGTATTCCTACGTCTCTAGCTTGGTGAAGTGCTCGTGCAGATGAGCGCGTACGCAGAAAAGAGGGTCATTTTTCTTCACTTCCTGTGTCACGATGCGAAAGATGTCATTATCCCGTCTCGAAGAAATCATGTGAAAATCTTCACAAGCCTGAAGTGTCCCTCCCTTTCTCCACTATACGGAACGGAAACCTGGCACCGCTTTCGGCTGCCATATGAATCCACGTTACATTTCCCAATCTTGCCAAACCCATGGACCCCGGTTACGCTATGGGGAATAGAAGTAAATGACAGAAGCGGTGGAGAGAGGATCATCTTCTTCGAAACCAAGGAAGAAGAGAAATAACGTCTAGAAGGAGCGGATCCTCGACGAATGGAAGCATTCCCGAACAAGGACCCTCACCTCCTCATCATCGCGAACCCCTTCGTTTGAGGGTCAGAGGGGCTATGGGGCGCGCACACACGAGCAAACACCAAAATGAAAAGATGGAGCACAATAGCGACAAAAAAGATGGCTGGGATATCGTTGTCGGGCGTCATGCTACGGTAAGGGGAAAGTTGAGACTGGCCACTCAGGACTCAAGAAAAGGGGTTCTCCTAGTTCTCTTCTGGCTTCACCGTTTGAAAAAAAAACTTGCTCCACCCTACTTTCGGTGAAGGCGAAATAACTTGAGACGAAGATCAGACCGAAACCAGTCTGCTGGGAAATTTCACCATCCCCTTTGAGCCGCCTCTGAACCGTGCAATCCCCGTCGGTGAGAGGCCTACGACGAAAACGACGACACCGACTTTCCTATCCACGATCAAGGATTCTCCCTTGGCCATTAGTGTACGGATAGTCAAGGGGACCACATCTGTGCTCTCGAGACCCTTACACCGTTTGAGCCTCATCTTCCGAATCCCATCACCATCCACTTACCCATGTAGCTTCAAGTAACGATGTTGGGAACGAACGAACTCGGGGTTTGACCCTTCCATTCCTTCCTCGTTCGCCTTCTATGGATACGGATATCCGCTCTGTTGGGTCAGCCAGCCCCAGTTCGTACTCATTGACGTGATGCCTGCTTCAGCCCGCCCAATGCCGCTACCAAACGGTTTACTACTGCTGCTTGCCCTTGGCTATAACACGGAGACACAGGCTGCTAATGTTCAATTTCGGCGGTGCCGTTCCCACGTACACGGGACCCAATGAATGGGGAGACAATTGGAGCCCATCTTCAGCTTCAGCTTCGGTCAGCTTCTGCCGCGTGGCGGCACAAATGTCTCACGGTGAACGGGCACGTATGCGATCGAGCGGCGCGGCGAGTGGAATTCTGAGAGACCCTCTTCATTGGAAAAGTTGAGGCTGCAGAATGAAATGCTTCCCGTGGTTCATCGCACATTGACGAATGAGCAGGAAAAACAACTATACCAATTGCCGTGGATTTGGCGAAATAAGCTTCGCTAGAGTCCCCATCAATGTCTCACTCTCTATAATCCCACGAAAAGAACCTATCTCTAACACGAAGTAGTCTCCGTTGTCCCAGTCCCACGAACGGAGCGTGAAGCCAGACCCGGTGCTCTGGTAAAAGCGTGTGTCACTAGCTTCGCGATGCCGACGCTTCTCCAGCCAGCCACGCCCTGAGCAGAGGTATCTCACCCTATGTGCTACGGCCCGACACTACGGATAGAGGTCCGAAAATTGGAAAAATCGTATTCGTTGACCCTCATCGTCCTTTCCATTCTGAGAAACCCATTCCGCGTTGTCCTAGCCATAGCTTCAGAACTCTGAGCTGCCCTCCGCTCACTCGTAGCCGGCGGCAATCAAGTGCCGCCTCTTCGGACATGGACATTTACCACCGGAAAGGGATAAGAGGCATCGTCCAAGTGGGATGCCATCGGTGACGAGAGCTACTCTGTTGCTCACATTACCCACGAAACGTAGCCTAGTAGGAATAGAGGGCAAACGCCATCGACCCAAAATGTCGGATATGATCAACTCCGGAATCCTCAGAAAAAGCCATGAACCTTCGCTCCGGCGAATGGGAATTTCTGCCCTTGCGGATACGGTCTCCCACTCACCCCCCTCAAGCGTACCGCAGCCCCGGTACGAACGCCCTCCATCTGCCGCGTGCCTGGCACATGCCCGCGGCTCTCCGATCCCCATTGCGGCGATCTTTACACTCTCCTAACTCGTCTTCCATCACGTTTTCTTGCATCGGTCGGCGCCCTTGCATGAACCTTGGCAGTTGGAAAGAAGTTATCTGTTCCTCTTCCCGCTTTGTTGAGTTTTTAACCCGTTACTATTGTTGAACTGGGCGACTGTGACGCTGCGGCGTCAGGAGACCGGACGAAACGAAACACAACGCCGCAGCGCCTCCTTTCCTCGTCTGATTGTTTTGGCTCTTCACTCTTGTCTTGTTCCTTTGGGCGCCCTTCTTCCCACGCCCCTTTTGATGCGCCGACCGGCCCAGGAACCCGGAAGATGCCATTCTATTGGGCTGATGGGACGCTTGCGCGGTCTGAGACGCATACGGAGTACGGATACAGGTGACTGATGGAAGCACCGAGTGGAACTGTGGAACATTCTCCCGTACTCCGTACACAACAATAATAGCAGCGCTTTTTGGGCTTGGACTTCATCGGCGTCCTGACAGAGATATCCTCCGACGCCAACACTGACCACCACTGTCACATCGTGTCTGTCCTCATCTCAACACCGGCAGATATTTTTGGGCGGGTAATTTCTGTACGTGTAAGAGCCGCTTCGCCACAGGGGGCAGGAGAAGAAATGCCACGTCTCCGTTTTCTCATCTACACTAATGAGTTTTAATTCGAAATCTCCGTCTTGAATGCTAAACAAACCGTGCCCCAATTCCGTTCCCGTTTACACCACTACTACTTCAGAGTCTGTACCGTTCCTGTTCCTGTTCCTGACTCCGCGTCCCCTGTCCTTGTATGTGGTTGTCAAATTTTCGTCAAACTCCAATATTGTGGGAAATTCTTTTCTTAAAAATCCAGGAACCACGAACAAAGCCCACTTTGACTGGGATGAGGGGATCTTGCATCCAAAATTCGGGTCCGTTCTTCCTCTGCAAGGTCAGAACCCGCCCCAGAACTCTGTCGGAAATTCAGGAACATGTGGCAAATTTTCTAGAAGGTATTCCGTAAATTGGCAACGCCTCCATCCAGTTCCATCGAAATTGGAGTTAAGATTTCTCTCCGTATTTTTCTTTGCCTCTCCGGTACCCAGCAGTCTGTCACCAACCAACACATGGAAATCCACGAGGCTGGGGTTTCGGGTTCGTTCGTCTCGGTTTGCCGAGATGCGCGTGATGTAAGCTGTAGTAATGCAGGGAACCAGTTGGTTCCGTTACACGAACTCTCTCTCTCCCATTCTCACCTGAGCAGATTTTCCCCCACAAAAAACGGTTGTGGGAATAACATCGTCATTCCGGGCCCCACGAAATGCACGTCGTCGATCTTTCTTCTGCCAGTCAGCAGACCCAGAGTATGGAGTACCTTGCTTTGCGCTATTGTTGGAACACACAACACACCGGACGGGGTACCGACTGCCGGAACCCGGTCAGGGTATCATCGTCTCGTACAATGGAAGAAGAAACATCAAGAAATCAAGAGAAATTGGTCATCAAGGAAATACGGTGAAATGAGAATTTCGGAACCCCCAGAACGGTGTGAGACCCAAGGTACCTGACCAGAAAAGAAAAGAAAAGAAAAGATGCCAATTCGTGAGTCATCCGTTCCAGCCGTGCCTCACCGTTCCCATCCCGTTTCTCCGTCCTGGCATCCATCGTGCAGATGCAGCGTCGCATCGAACGTGTCCCCGTGACGGGTTCCAAAGGACCGGTACCAACCAGAAGGAAATGTTGGAAACAGTGTACACTGCCCGTACACGAACCAGCTGCAGCATCCCGTCTTTCGGTGAATACTGTGCCTTGCTCTACTTCCCACGAACGCGTCGTCACTTGTCCGTCCGCCCGTGGGGGGGAGGAGAGAAAGGGGGTGTGTGTCTACGTCGCGTTGAAATGCCGTTCAAGAAATCGCATCCTCCATGATCACTGATGGGTGCCCGACTGCCCGTAGTATCATAGTCCGGCGTACGCACGTTTGCTTCTTTTCTATGCTACATGCTAGATAGAGGCGCGCACTGTCTTTTCTCTGGCAGACTGGCAGGCAGCGGCAGGATCGTGTACTCGTCACAATAGAGGGAGGGCTAAACACTAAAGTGCTTGCGTTCACTAGTTCGCGTGAAAAACCAATACCCATTTGCCCTGTTCCAGCTCTTTCAATCAAGTTTTGCTCAGGAACCGAGGCACCGGGAGAGGCTTCCCTTCGGCCCAGGAACAAAGAGTCCGTGTGCTCGCGGGCGCTTACACGCTGCAAGCCCCGATCCAGGCAACATTTCACGATCATCGAGGACAAGATGGACTTCTTTTTCTTCCCTCCCCCCCCCCCCAATGTCTCTAGCGCCTGTCAAGTTAGTGTCAACTAATACGGCGGATACCTACTTCCTGCGGCCTGCCGCTTCGGCTAGCAGAAACTTGCCTACTTAGCTAGCAATCCATCGTGAACTCTCACCAGGAACCGGTTGAAGTTTGACTCAGGACTACTACAGTTGGGCCAAGAATTTGGAGAGCTCCTCCTCTTCTTCGGCCGAGAACCTCCGTATCTCAGGATTTTGGGCCAAGGTTTAATTCCCCAGGTAGCTCTTTGCAGCTTTGCTTCTTCTCCCACGACGGCAAGATCTCGCGACGTCGGAAAGCTGTCACTGTGACGGTAGAAACATCCTCTCATACAGGTTGGTTTGGCGGGTTGCCCGAATTGGGCAATCCTGCAGCATTTGCTGTCTCTCTGCAGAAGATCCTTGTTTTACATCCTTGCATCGTGTACCCGTACTGATGATCAACCAGGGGAAAATGTGATCGAAAAGACGCTATCCACACTATGTGTTGGTTCCGAAGAGGAGGTCCAATGCAGAAAATACAGAAACCCATCATCTGATCAAAATGATTCCATCAGAAAACCCTGTTTTGGCGCCGGGCTTGGAGACTTGGAGACTTTGGGGGGTAACTCGGCACTTCGGTTGACTTCCTTGGGGCCATACGCCATTGACTCCTTCACTCCGTATTTCTGTCAGTGAGTTGCCTGCCGTCGTCGGAACGGGGGATCTTCGAAAAAGAAAGTGACAAAAAAGTGACGGTGTCACTGGTGTCAAGTATGGTCACGATCTTCTCCTCTGCTCTCCACCCGCCCGACCGTGCACACGCAATACACCGCTAAATCGAGCTGCAGGAGCAAGAGATGCGGAACCTTGGATACGGGGTGGGCGTCGCAATCGTTTGGGGATGCTGGGAACCAGGTGCAAATCACCCCCTCATGACGGGCAGGCAGATTGACAAGGCGTGTCACGATCGAACTTCTCCAGTTTCTCCAGCACCACTCACTCCCACCGTATTCTATTCTCAGGCAGGGGGGGGGGGGGTTTACCTGAGAGCATGACCGAATACTATTCAGATATCAGACGAGAAGCGTACGGTAGGTGATACTCGGGGCGAGCCACCGGTCTGAGACGGAGCCAAGCAAATTTGAAAAATGTACCGTAAGGTGATGATTATTTGATGTATTATTGTTGTCCTGGGTTGATTAGAGCCAGTAGTTCGCGATTTGGGATTGATGAACGAACATCGGGTCACTGCGGGAAACATAGTATTACCCTATTTGCATGTTGCGCAGGCAAAACATTGGCATTGTCTCAACGTCCCTCGAAAAAAGGGACATGCCTCCAAAGATTTGAAGGTCCGTTTCTGTGATACATTACAAACTTCCACGATGATCAGTCAAAGGGTTCTCTGTTTGTTGTCTGTGGTTTCAACCGGCGACCTCCGCGATCGAAAGGAGACAGTTCAGCTGATGTTTGATTTGGATTGTGCCATCGGGCAGCGGCGTAAAACTGACAAGTCGTACCATTATCACATTGAAAAGCTGTGACGAGTCCGTTCCAGGCGATGAGTATCAAAAAATGAGAAGAGAGTGGCACAGATGGTTCAAGTGGCTGAAGCGCTTCATGCGACTGATGTCTCTCTGCCCGGAGACATGGAGCCTTTGTCTACCTCTTGGTCGACTAGCAGCCCTATAGCATTCAGGAAACAGTAAAGACGGCGTTTTCATAGCAACATCCATCTCTCCCGCCGCATTCCCATTCCCCTGCCTGCCTCAGCTGTTCGAGCTTCGAGCGGCATTGAGGTCCTGGAGCTCTCCCCGGTCAAAACGGATGATCCAAAATACCTAGGTAGGTGGACGCCTCGCCGCCCGCCATTTGCTGCATGTTCCATCATCTTCGGTTAGGCTGTGTGCAACACATGGCGTTTTTAAAGTGTATGCCGTGTACCCTCGTTCAGAAACCTGCAGGAATGCCGCCGCTGTCGGACAATTACCGCAAAGGAAAAGCCTGGCATCAATATTTCCTTGGGGGCGGGGTCTGAAGCGAGGTCAGAGACAACACGATAGTGTTGATTTACTTGATAATGTGTATGGATACTGGATGCTGCATCAAATAGTGCCACGGTTCACGGCATATGCAGGCAGACGAATTCCACCGTGAGTTGGGGTTGCTGCGGCTGGCGCGTCGTACCCATCCACCTCCAGTGGCAGTTTTGTTGCGATGGTGACATTATCACCCGAGTTGAGGTAACTGATAAGATCCTGGCGCCATCAATGATCGCCCGCAACCCCGTCCTTTGCCTGTTGAGCGCCAGACTGTGGTCTCGGGCGGCTGCTTCATCGACCGAGTGACCGTCGCACTCATCTCACATCTCAGAAAATCGCAGTCAGCCCGTGTGCCCGTTTTGAAATGCCCTAACACAGCCCCCAAATCCGCCCCAAGTATACTCGGTGCCCCGCGGGTGTTTTCCCTGAGGCGATTGACGTGTCTCTTAATATCGATATACAATTTCCGTATGCGTAGTCGGCCGCGGACGGCCAAGCCACGCTGCCACAGAAACTCTCTTACTCGGCAGCCTCGGCATCGTGCTTCTTGTCAAGAGAGGACCACAGCTCATTGCCTCCAGCCTTCGATTCGTTGTGTAACCAATGAGAACTCAGAGATGGTAGGCCATACAGATGCATCTGAAACATGCTCTTCTCCTCAACTCTCGTCTCGCTCCGCAGTGACACGAGGTGTGCGACGCAAGCCCCCAAAAGCGTCCACCGTTCTCCTCCCCTCCGCCGAGAATGATGACAAAGTGGCCCCCAAAAGAGCTCGGGAAGCACAGGCGTCCGCTCTGTTGGCTCAGTTCACCGTATTTCCCACGTGGTGTTTGGCAAGGGGCCGGCCGACGGGCAACAACCCACCCCTGACGATCACACCACACCTTGGACACCTTCGAACAGGGATCTCTTCGAGCGAGCGAGCGAGCCGCTGGCTGCTGCTGATGTGTACTGCGTACGCCCGGACCTCCCCCAAGCTCAGGTGTGATGGGCGGTGCGACGGCGGCAGCTCAGTTGGTCACACCTGGCCTGGCTGCTGCAAGCTTCTTGCTCATCAGGCTTTCAGCAGAGACGGGGTGCGAATTACAGATAGTTCGCGAGCCAAGAACGCACAGTCGAAGCCTGATTGATGTTGGCTCGACACAGCCCATCGCTGGTCAGCTGAACTCCGCCGGTCTTGCTGTTGGTGCCGTTGCTTCGTAGTAGTTCCAATAGAACAGCTTCCCGTCCCAAAAAGATCAACGACCGCTACTGCAGGTACAAGGGGAAAATTGGCGACGGATTCTGAGAAGGCCTCAGTTGTATTACTGTACTATTCGCCTTGGTCTCTCGCTTCCCGAGACATCTCACACGGCCCCTTGAAGCTATTCCAATTTATCGTCGCCCGCAGCAAGGGACGACGTCGCGGGGCACTTACAAGTCACGGACAACGTGCCATACTTACCAGGAGAGGTCTTTAACAAACGGAGGTCGCTAGGTTCATTCTCCGTGACGAGGTGACGGAGGACTCAGCTCAGGTTTGCCTTTTCCCCTACCCCATACGATGCCGCCGTAGTCGCCGTCATGGTGACCCACCTCCGCGACCCGCCGCTAACCCCCCCGCTGCCCAGAAAGTCCGTCGGCCGAGCATGTCGAAAAGAGGTAATCCGGGGAGAAAGAGGTTTGTATGACCGGCTCTCGCTTCATTTAGGAGGGCAAAACGTCGAGAAGGTTGCCGTTCCCTAACTCCGGGTGATGATACCCTTGCGTCAAGGGTGCCTCTGAGACGCGCAAACCCAGAACTCGGTTTGCGTCAAAATGCCCGCACGTCCCGCTCAAACGGTAGAGAAGGCAGACGCTTTACGGACTCTGTGGACAGTTTCGTCCGGTCCCTCGACAAGGGCCATCGACGTTGGGTCTGTACGGATACGCTACTCTCTGCTGCCCTATCCGTACGGGTAGTGAACATCAACCGGCTTGGTGGGGAGAGAAACGGTTGATCGGCCAGTAGGTGATGCAGGTTGACGCTTTGGGAGGAGGCTAAATCGCAAGTTCACTGTTTCCTCGGCTTCGTTTTCTGCTACGCCCATGGCCCGAAAGACCGGGTGCTGTGCCATCACCGCTGCAACGATTGTCCACACCCTCATTCTGCCGTCGACCCATGGCAGCGCGTGGTCATGTGTACTCAAGGCTGGGGTGTTGCATTTTTGACGGTGAGGATTCGCTGTGCCTCGCAGACACCATTCAAATGCAATCAATTCTAAACCGTCAGCTTAGGCGGGGTAAGCAGCAAAGATGCCCTCTTTTTATCGTTGCCGCATATGCTGTGCAGCACAGCGAGGTTGAAAGCTGCAAGGCGTATCATTATCCATGATGTTTGTCCATGAGAGAGCTGCCGTATAAGCCACTTCCGTTCTACTAAGAGTTGGCGATCTGGCTGTACAGCGGCAAGGATCAGAGACAGCTCTGCAGCCACTCCGCCGTCCGACATCTCCTATCATGTCGTCAGAGTCTCTCGTCAAATCGTCCGACCACGAGTCCGTGCTGAGCGGGTTAGACGGGAAGCTAGCGTGACTCTGCCTGTCAGTAAGCCGACACTGATTTGTGATCAGGCGAATTAACTAGGTTAGGCTGTCATTATCGTGACTCTTAGCCACTTGGTCTCTGAAAATGATGGTGTGCAGCAGCATTTCGACCGAGTACCTATCCTACGACCGTAAGCAGCGTCAAGGGTGGGGATTTGAAGCTTCACAGGCAGATGTCTTTCGGTACTTGGTCGAGATGTATCTTCTCGAGCTATGTATTTTTGTATTTCGGTACGAATGTGAGATCAGCCTTCCATCGCGTGTTTGACGAGTTTGGCATCGATGTTGCGCATCTAGGAAGCAATAGCAAGTAGCATCCTTGCTGGCGTTTCCTGATTGGAAATTTGCCCTGTCTGCCTTTCCAGGAGAGAGTTGAATGTCACAGTCGCCTGCGCTTAAAGTCATGTGTCATGCGCTTGGAAGCTATGGTGCCCTTGATCTCCTCTAGGAACGGCTGCCTCGGCCGATAACTCAGCTTCGTTCCCGCGTCCACCGCTTCATACAGCCTCCTCAAACTCGAAGCCTAGGCTAGGGTTTCCTTCCACCTAGGAGGACCTCGTGGCCGATTTCACTACGATCGTTACGATCGTCGGAGTTGTAGAGGCGTATACGGCGCCAAGAGGAATCTGCGACAAACAAGAAGAGGGGCGGTAAAAGCAGAATACGAAATCTGCGCAAACGGCAGGAGAAGTTCATGATTCCAGCAGGTCGGGAACCTTGCAAAGCTAGTGCGGCCTTGGCGTGACATTGGGACTGAATCGTAACGTCGTATGCTCTCTGTTGCCCGAAGCCGAACAGCTGGGCTGGCGTATGCCAACGTGCCAACCAACTTGGTTTCCTTCGAGCTCGTTTCACTTGTCGCTGGCCTAAGTAAGCATCGTCAACCGTGCACGCTTACAGCAACTGTTGCCCATGGCTCATCTGGATCGCCACTTCGGCACCATGCCGTATTGGAGCTATGGCAATCCGGGACTGTCCCGGTGAATAAGACGGCGTTTACAAGCGTGCTATAGTCCGGTGTAGGAGCCCGACATATCCCTACAAGGCCCGTTTGGCGGACTTTCCGCCGGTCCGAAGGCGGAGCTCGGGATGACCTTGCCTTTCCCCAGCTTTCGTCAAGGCTTGGCCTGCACAATATCCCAGCAACACGTGTAGTGTGAATCTTTCTTGAACCATTGTCGCTTTCGTAATGGGCGCCCAGCGGGGCTTTCTCGAAACAGCCGCGTATTCTTGCTTCGTCCCCCAGATCTCGATGAGTTTGCGGTGAGAGTGTCCCATGAACGTTGCGCATCTATTGCAAAGAGACTCGGCTAGTCTAGACACACGAAACGACGGGTGGATAATAGCGCGATTATCGATCGAAGGTGGCCAAACTATACGAAGCATGCCAACAAATGACAGTGACAGAGGTGTCAAATTTTCAAAAGTTGGTCCGAAGTGAGCTGCCATTGTGTCATCGGTTATTCATGCCGGTGAGGTGAGTGAGCTCACCCCACGATGTGAAGTCACTTTGATCTACTCAGTTTTGTAGGGCCAAGGTATTCTTGCCTAGCGGCTAGTCTTCATGGTGCGTCCTCCTCGGCACCAGGGTTGGGCATCTGGGTAGAGCTGATCCAGTTCTCCATGCTGGCTTGACCTGCAGGCTGCTTGGCACCCCCAGCTGCAGTCGACGATGCTAATCTTAGACCTTGGCGCTTCTTGACAACGAGGCAAAGCACACGACCGTAGATCGCGAAACCTTCATAGGAGACATCCATTGCCATCTTCTTCTTGTCGTCGCCGTCTTCCTCTAGGTCGGACCCAGTCTCTTGCTTCTTGACACGCTTGGACGGCCGGGGAGCATCGTCGTCGGAGTCTATCTCAATCGCCGAAGCCTCGGCGCCAGCATCATTGTCCGAGGTCGTCGCGTAGTCGGCATCTTGATCATCGCGAGGTTCTCCGCGCTGTCTTTTTGATCGCCGAGGCCGGCTTGTTTCATCGACAGCGGGGATGCGGGAAAGGCCGGCAGTGTCGTCCTCGGATTCACTTTCCTGCCGAATAGGCACCGTACTAGCGACTGCCTCGGACTCTATGTCTAGATCAATAGGTACGTCATTCGTTTCGTTTATCAGTTTGTTGGAGTTTGACTGCAACTTCCCGGGCGCTTTGTCGCGGAAGTGCTTGTGCTTAGTGAGCAGCGAATGGCGCGTACTTGTCTCGGTCAAAAACATGGAGACCTCAAACTCATCTGGCAGATGTCATGATCAGCCAACTTTATTCGGTTCGAGAAATGGTCTGGACCGGGCTGATTACGACGGCGAGGGTTGGGTTGGGTTGAGCGGGATGGTGACAGTGAGTAAGGCTTCGAAACAGGACGACCAACCTTGGACAACAACATCCTTGATAGTCTTCTTTTTAGAACTCTTCTTCTTTGCCCTTTCTCTCTCCTTCTCTTCACGTAGTTTTGGTAACACCAATGGACGGACGCTCTCGATAACCTTGGGTAAGATGGGGTTCCGAGGATTGAGAAGCCAGCTTTGTGCCAATGCCGGATTGTCGAGATAGATGCGACACTCGAGAACGGAGTACTTTGTGATCCTCAAATATCGGCGTAGAGGCGCCATCGTTGCTGTTTCCTATGAGACGCAGTTGCAGTGAGGCTCGTGCAGCATGAACTCAAGCCTGGATTCGAGGTGGTATTTTGCTCAGACGTGAAGAGATGGCTTTCTGAAGAGGTCTATGCTCAATACGACGTGGTCGAGTGGTGCGCGGAAACCGAAGGGAACTCGAGGTAGTAAGTGATCTGAGGAGCTTTCAGAAGAAAGGTTATGATGAAGTTGATGTCGAAGGTGAAATGACTGTAGATGAGTGAAGGTTGCCCTGACTGCACGTCGTGACGTCGGATGAGAGCTGCCCCACCTGCACATAAGTACCTTTCCTAGTTTAAAGCGTGTGCTTTTGCGGGTGGATAAGGGACGTATACTTGAGAAGCCGCGCTGCAAGTACTACCAGTAGCATTCTCCCTATCCTACAGTAGCAGTGCCCCGTTGCTCCCGCGGGGCGGCGACTGCACGCAGCACGCAGCACGACACTGGATGCGCCTGCCGCCAGTGACCTCAGGCAATTAACAAGGACCCACTTAAATTTTCTCGGAATCGCTTCGTCCAGCTCCGGTGCCGCGTCCAGAAGCTCCGGCTATCGACTTCCTCGTCCAATGGCCGAACCTCAAAGACCGCACCGCAGTTCGACTCTCTGTTCCTCTCCTTCGTAGTGATGCTGACAAAGCGATCATGTCGAAGTCATGGGCATCGACACTGAGGCTACCTAAATCTACCTTCCCGTAAGCTTTCTGGTCTTCTGGTGCAACCACCGCCGCTCCCCCTCGGCTCCGTCCTCAGCTGACCCGTGGCCCGGGCCGTCTTAGACCGCGCCCGCTCTCGCAGTTCCGTTCCGATTACCTCCGCCGATCCGCCGACGACTTCTACAAGTGGCAGTCATCCAATGACTCTAGGCCCGAGTTCACTCTGCACGATGGCCCCCCGTACGCAAA